TGAGCGAGGTATCAGCATTCATATCTCTGACTTGCAGATAAGGAAAGTGAGGCTCAGAAAGGTTTAGTGATGTAGCCGTGGTTACTAAATATTTATGTGGGGAAGAGAACCTGCATGTTCTGTTTCTTCTTTGAATACTTTTTTCAGTGCTCACAGCATTCACATTAAGTAGCAGCTTAGATTCAGCACCATTTGGGTTTAGAAAACAACCTATTTAGAGAAGAAGGGGAAATGGCTTCCAAAATTCTATTTAGAAGCCAGCCAACAGTGTAGGGAAATGGGATGGGGCTTAGAAAATCCAGCTTTGGGTCCTAGCTTATACTCACCAGAATTGTGTCCCACATAGTCCAACAATCCTTCTCTTCTCCATTTTGTTTGTTTTTGTTTTTCTTGGTAAAATGGGTTAACCTGCCATATTCCTGGAGTTATTGTGAGATTCAAGTAATATTGCTCATTCAACAGTTTGAGTATCTTTTTATGTACGCACATCTGCAGAGAAAGCTTCCAGTGGGTGATGCCTGGCATTTGTCCTCAACATCGAGGACTAGTGGGGCTACACATAGCCATTTATGCACACACACACACGTGTGCGTACAAATTTGTACACATGTGCGCACATACAAAATGCTCATGAGTGGAAGTAAATGTCAGAAAAGATGAATGGCCATGTACTATCTATATACTATGTATATTTTTCATTCTCTGCGTAGTTCTCATTGGCTACTCTTCAGCTAGGTTGTGAGCAATTAGATGTATTTATGTTCCAGAATTATGGGGAGAAAATATCTACTGAGTGCTTCTACTATCCACCATGGTTTTAGGTGCTGGGAATACAGCAGTGGGCAAGACGGGCAATGTGTCTCCCCTTATGGAGTAACCTTCTAGTCAGTGGAGAAAGACAATAAACAAGCAGACAGATAGCTGAGGAATTTCAGATGAGGACGAAGTGCTACGAAAAAAGTAAAACAAAGTGGTGTGCCAGGGCTGGCTTCCTCAGGTTTGACGGTCAAGGTAGGCCCTTTGAAAGCTGACTCCAGAATAAGAAGGAGTCAACCATACAAGGATCTGGAGTAGATGGTTCCCGATGGTGGGAGTGGCTAATGCTAAGGCCCAAGGGACAGAACTGGCTTGTCCCACTAGAGTAGCACCAGGAAGGCCAGTGTGGCCAGAGGAGCCAAGAAGGGTGAGCTCAGAGTTGGGCAGGACCTGCACCATGCAGGGTGTGGAAGGCCATCTGTGCTGGGGGTTGCATTAGCCTGCCCATAAAGACAGCAGCCACGGGGACTTCATCTAATAGTGGTTTGTTTTCCATACAACAAAAAAGTCTGGAGGAGGAGTGCACAGCTCTGAAGAGTCTCCATGGACTCTCAAAGTCTCATGTGCCTTTCACCTTTCTGCTCTGCCTCGTTTAGCATATGGCTTTCATGCCTTTAGTTGTCTCATGGTTGCAGTATGATTGTTCTACCTTCTGCCTTCTATATGAATTCAAGGTGGTACAAACAGTGAAGTTACCAAAAGGAAGGTGATCCTCAAGTTAAGAATTCAGATATCCCCAGAAATCCCAATAGATTCCCACTTACATTTCAATGGTGAGAACTGTGTCATTTGACCACCCCTAGCTGCAAGGGAGGCTGAAACAGAAGCATTTTTTTTCTCAAGCTAAGTTCATTACCTTCTTCAACAACAGTATTTCCTTCAGTAGGAATGCTATTGAGTAGAGAGATTACTCCACACTGCAACGAGTAGCCTGGACTCTATTTTAGATGGGAAGCTCTATGTGGGTAGGTGGGTGAATCAGTTGTTCTGCTTTGAACATGTGAAATTAGTACTTGGCTATCACAGCAGAGTGTCCCAATCAAAGTAGTCCTGGAGAACAGGTCACAGGCAAAGGCCTCAGAACAGCCCAGTGGTGTCTGGGGCCACCAGGGCCCCTAGGGAACTCTGCTGCCTCCTCTGAAGGCTCTTTTTTTTTTTAAACCTCAGGGTTCCCTGCCAATACCATGTGTGATTCAGTCTAAGATGCCATTGCTTATAACATGCAACTTTGTGTACCAGTAAGGGGAAAAATGCTGCCAATTAAATGATGACACAATGTTTTCTTTCAACCTAAAATTTTCAGTTTTTACTTCTGAGAAATAGTTCTTTTAGACTTATTAAGACATTGGTTTTTAATCATATAGCACTTTTACACATACGCAAAAGGAAAATAGTCATAAAAGTAATTGGTTAGGTATTCTTAAAACTTTCCATTCAGAATCCAAGTCAGTATCTGCAGATTTTTCTCAATCTGTTCCATCAAGAGTAAGTGATGCAGTGTCTCTTAAGAAGAGTGCTCTACTAGCCAGGCATGGTGGCTCACACCTGTAATCCTAGCACTTTGGGAGGCTGAGGCAGGAGGATTGTGCTGGGAACGTGGCCAATGCTCCCCACAAAAAACCCGGTCCCTTTGGTAGAGTTGCAAGGGATAAGAAAATAATAGAAAAATGGAAAATAACTGGAAATAAAAGAATACACCGAGACAAAGGTATAGTTATATAAATTTATAAAGATTATAGGCAAAGCAGGATCTCAGGGGGCCTAGATTTTCTCCGTGAATCTCAAAAAGCCCCTAACGAGGTCTTACATGGTAACTTATAGGGAACAGTGATTAGTTGCCAGGGGTAACAGATTTACATAACAGCAGGTAGTTTTTCTTAGGTTAACAGATTTTCAAAAGGCTTCTACAGATCCTTTAACTAATTCTATCTACGTGAACGAATGGTTACAAAATCTTTCAAAGATTGAGTTCTAAGGTAAACTTATCACTTAACAGAGGGGTTAAACAGAGATATGTTGGCTCCATATTTATCAGGTTATTGTGAGTGGAGACAGGTAGTCTGGAGTGTTAAGCAGGAGCTTGCTTTTAGCCATTTGGGCAGCTGTCTGTGGCTGTCTGTGGCTGTCTGTTCCGGGGGGCACTCCATTGTCAGCTCTTATCCTGTAGTTTTTAACAGATTCGCTTTGCTTTACAAAGCAAATCCAAACCTTTAGGTCTGAGAAACGCAGCGCCTTGTGGGGTACAGCCGCTACTGTCTTTCAGAGACGCCCTTCTGAGTGCAACAGCATTTGAAATGCAAACTAAACATGTTCACATATTCCTTCAGGGCAAAGCTCTGAAAAACTCCTAAGACAAATCCTGTCTGCAAACACGTTTATATTAATTCATGGAGCAACAGGATTGCTTGAGGCCAGGAGTTCGAAACCTGCCTAAGCAAGATCAAGACTCCGTTTCTACAAAAAATAGAAAAAAAATTAGCCAGGCCTGGTGGTGTGCACCTGTAGTCCCAGCTACTCGAGAGGCTGAGGCAGGAGGATTTATTTGAGCCCAGGAGTTTGAGGTTGCAGTGAGCTATGATGAGCCACTGAACTCTAGCCTGGGTGACAGAGTGAGATCTTGTCTCAAAAAAAATCCACTACTAATTTCAGGATTTTCTTCTATGTTGCTGGCACCCATATGCAAGTTTTGATGTGAATACAAGAGAATGACAACTATGACTATTGTCTGGCCAACAGCTATCCTGTTACTCGGATGTTAAAATGTGCATCTGTGTTGGGGGGCGGGGGTAGTACAAGATCAATGTATGGTATGTGCATTTCTATGTGCACTGCCATGCACAAAGAGTTGGGCAGCACTGAGTTAGACATCAAGGAGGAGAAGACAAGGAGGTGTTGGGATGTTCAGTGGAGTGGCAGAGATAGAAAAATGGGTTTGCAGATTTGGCATCCATAACCATAGGAATGATAGTCATCTGCACTGGGCTGCACGTGAGCATCTAAGGAAAGTCTGGATGGCGAAGAGGGCCAATGCTGAGCCTTGGATACTCAAACGTTTAGAAACCTAAAGGCGGAGGAGGCAGCCAAGCCAACTGAGTGAGCTGCCGGGGTGGCCCGAGACCTGGATGGCAGGGCAGTGATGTGGCATCTCCAAAGATAAGGGGGAGAAGAATGGCCAGTTGTATTAAATGCCGCTGAGAGGGCAAGTAGAAGGAAAGTGGAAGAATGACCACTCCATTTGGCACACGGAGGTCAAGAGTGACCTCATCAAAAGGACTTTCCGTGGTTGGGGGCAGCCAGGCCGGAGCTAGATGAAAACCAGATAAAGGAATGAGAAGGGGCGAAGTGCCCAACCTCTCTGAACAGTTTTGTTGTCAAAGGCAGAAAGAAGTACAGACAAGAGAGGTGATGGTGTTTCCTTTTCTGAAGATACTGGGCATGTCTGAACGCTAATCCAGCAAGGGGCGACTGACGACTGCCGCTGCAGAGCGCTGGGGAAGGCGAGAGGGGGCGATCCGGGGCACAAGAGCCACAGGTGGGCTTTGGACGAAATCAAGTGTCACCGCAACAGGAAAACGACGGCAGAGAGCACGGGCACAGAAGCCACCGTCCCAGAACTCGGGCCACAGCTCCCAGCGCTCCCCTCAGCACTGTGTTTTCACAAATCTCTGCTCTCCTCGGGCGCCGGCTCGCTGCCCTCTGGGGCCTCGTTTCCGCACTTCATCAGGCGCGGCAGTGTGACAGGGGCGAGGACACCCAGCAGGCGGCCCCTGCGCCCGCACCGCAGCGGCTCGGCTACTACGTAGCCGTCAGTGTCTGACTGGGGCTAGACTGAGCGCGTTCTGGGCATGAGCCAATCTCATGCTAGGCCCTTGCTAACCTCCTACGCCTCCCGGTGCCCCCTGCCTGCCTGACCCCCGCCTCTTCTAACCCCAAACCGCCCGCCCTCCGCCACAGCCTCAACGTGGCGCTGCCGACTGCGCATGCTCCGTTCCCGGGACGCGCGGGTCCGACGGGGCGGGCGGGCCGCAGTGACGTCACGCGCACGCCGCGGGTGGGCCGGGACGCGCCACGTTGGCTCGCGGCGGCCACGCCCCTTCCCCAGCGCCGGCGGTGGCTCATCGACCTGCGCGGCCCCGGCGCTCCACACACGCGCGCGCGCCGCTCGCTCGCACCCTCCCCGGCGCTCACACGCGCGCTCGCACGCGCACTCCCGCCGGGCCCGAGAGCCGCGCCGCCGTGCCCCGGTCCTTGCGAGCACCATGTCTTCGCCTCCCAAAGAGAAAGTGGAGACGAGAGCTGGACACCTGCCGGCCGGTACTGACTCGTTTGCACTTTCTCTCCTCGCGCCGGGCTGAGGGCGGGCTCGAACCCGCGGCCGCCAGGGTTGGGGCGTCGGGCGGGGCTCCTCGTGGGGCCCGGGACAGGGTCCTGGTGCCCTGACGGCCGCGCGAAGGGGCCACCTCCGTCCCGCGGGAGCGCTCGGTCTGCCGCGACCCCTGCGGGACCCGCCACGTCACCGCACGAGACCCGCCGCGGCCCGGGTCGCGCCCGCTCGTGGGGCTCAAGTTCCGCTCCGTCCCGCGCGGGAGGCCCCGCGGCTGTATCCAGGGTGGGAAGCGCGGCGTGCGGGTAGGCGTTGCGTGCGGATTGGGGTGATTTGAGGAAGCCCGGTTGCACAACTTTTTAAAAACAACTTTTGGCGGTTAATATTTCCTTAGAATGTACAAATTAAGAAAAAAAAGTAACAGAAACAATTAAAAGCCAGTGTTCTTAATATCGTGGTGATGATTAATTATAGGCTGACAGCATTTCATACTGACAGAGGAACCAAAGGAGCGGAAATAATTGTTATCATTAATCAATCAATAGGACTTCTCTTTACCCCCAGTTTCCTTCGCATGCAGATGTTTCTCAGAAGTGCTTTTTCATTTCTTAAGCAAATCCTAAACTTCTGAGGCAAAGAAGTTAAATCCAGGAAAGAGCCATCTTTCTGAGAACACTGGAATCCAATGTTCATGCCGCCTTCCCCTCGCTGGGCACAGTTCCCGTCTGCACTTTGGGCTCTGCCCAGACGGGGCAATTTCCGCTTCTCCTTCCCTGTGACCCTGGATCCATATGGAAGGGTCCTGGTGAGAAGATGAAAGGCCTCGGGTCCCAGAGACCAAGTCACCTGGATGTGTGGGGTTCTTTGGTCTTTACTGCACAGTTAGTGTATTAACTCAGGCTTTTAGTAACAGAAACCTTAGAGAAACGTGGCTGCTTTGTGTGGCACATTTGTGCCATCTTCTTGTTACAGCGAAGATTCCCATTATCTCCATCTGCAGGGCTCAAATTCTCTGAATAGGAGCAGTTCTTTAAATACGTTGCATTCCAGAATCGCCAATATTTTTCACTGGCGACAGAGGCTTTCAACAACCAAACTAATTAACAATAGTGGGAAAAATGGCTAATTGATGCCTGAGGAATTAAGAGGCATGGGGTTTTAGAAAAATTGTTCTACGGTAAGGGAAAATAGGCTTTGGGGACTTTTGTGTTGCATTAGTTAAAAAACAAAGTACCTTACAGGGACTTCCTTTAAGGATAACACTGACCGTTGATTCTACCACAGGGGCTCCATGCCCACCTTAGGGAGAAGCAAGCACCTTTATTTATACTCACGGCAGGCCTGTCTCCAGGACCACGCAGCAGCATCCTGTCCTAGCTCTCCATCCCCTGGGGTACGTGAGTTGCATTAAAGTGTATCTGTTGGAATGATACCAAATCAAAGTATGGTAATTAAACTGCATATGATGATATACCCATATAGAGATTTCTAACATCAGAGGTATAGACTGTACATATTAACCCCCTGGGAGAAATTCGTACTGGACTCTGATTTTCTTTGAATTCTAAAGTAAACAGCTAGGCTTTGTGAATTACAAATTAAATGGCTTATTTATGCCTAAGACAAGAGGAAGCAACTTATTTGTGCTGGCGTAGCAGTGAACTTGGGTTCTAAGTTTTGAGGTGTCACTTTACGCTACTCTAGGGCTCAGTTTTCCTTGTTTTTGAAATTTGAGGTTTGGGCCAGATGTGCTAGGGCTGCCTCGCTTCCATCTTTCCTCTCCAGGATCGGAGCCACCAGGACAGTTAATCTTACAGGTAAACTTAAGTGACTTCAGGGCAGCTACTTTAGTCTTTGGGGCCCTGAAACTAGCAAGAGCTCCTTAGGGAGGCTGTCACTGCGTTCAGCATTTTCCAAGGCCGGTCAAAGTTGGCCAGAGTTAGAGGCATCACTCAGCAGCACCCCTCAGATGCGCTTGCCTCCCCGTGTTTCAGAGGACCCTGTGTGAAAGCCTTTTTTGGCAGGAAGCTCACAGTTCTCTTGTTTAGACTGATGTTGTCAGAGAGTAAGCAGTTCTGCAGAGTAAACGTTTAAAAAAAAAAAAAAAAAGGCAACCCACTATAATAAAAGATAATCATCAAGGATAGCCAAGAGCATCGTTCATAAATCAAAATAACTGCCTTAAAAACATTGAGAACGCTTTCATTAAGTGCTTAAATTGAATAACAGGCTTGTGCTTAAATCCTCAGTCGGAAATAATAAAATTCTCTTACACTCACTATCTTAATATTCTTTTGTGTTTTCTCTTTATTTCTGTCTGGACTGTATCCCCTCCTGTATATTCCCCTGATACCCCCGAGCTCCTTATGGCACTTAACTCCACCTGTCACCTTTCTCCTTGCTTCCAGGACTGGGTCTTATTGATTCTTTATCCCCAGGGCCAGGCATAGTGCCTGGCACGAAGTACTCAATAAGCAGCTCCCGAGTGAGTTTCCCCAGGGCCTCCGCCCACCTCTCACTTCCCCCATTCATGGCAGACCTGCGCCCTCCCTGTCTCTGAGCTCTCCCCAGTGTGCACTAATGGTGCAGGTGGTCTCAGCCAGTTCTGGGGGCACAGTAGTGGAGATATTACAGCAACTGAAGTATCTTGAATGTTACAGTGTGCCGGCACAGTTCTAAGCACTTGGCACTTTTAACTCATGAAGGCAGTGACCTTATCAGTGGGATGCCAAGAACAGTCCTATTTTAAAAACCAGTTGAACCCTTTGGAGTGTCTGTTGCCAACTCCTCTGAGCCAGGGACCCAAGGGAAGGGGCTGGAAAGACCTTTGCCTTTTGGAACCTCAGCAGCCTGACAGAGGACTCATCACTTGCTGGGTGCCTCCTCCCAAGGTGTGGGATTAATGAAGCAGTTTGTGAAGGCTTCTGGAGAGCGTGGAAGAAAGGTGCTATGCAAATACAAAATATTGTTATTTATGAGTGATGGATGGCGCTGCGTCATGTCGTGGCAAATGTGCTATCGTCTGTGGTCCTCTGTAAAAGTAATCCAGTCTTAATGATTTGAGACCTCACACTGCTCTTGACTACAAAATATTTGCAGCGAAATGGGGTGAGACTGCGTGTTTTATGAGAATTATTGCAAATACAGATTAGCAAAGTTAGAATTAGCGAGATTCTTTCTGTTTCATCTAACAGCAGTAATAGCATTCCACAGCAGAAAGGAGGACATAATTATAAGCCAGGCTATTACTCATTTCTGACTGTCTTCATGAGATTGTGCCAGTGACATGGGTAATATCTCTTTGTTAGATACATTTTGCCGGCCCTGTTCCCCTCTGTTTCTCAGGGGAGCAAAAACCATGTGTCAGCCAAGTTCTCATAAATCTGATAGGTGATCACTTTGAATGTTACTAATTTTACATATGATTTTCTTTAAAAAGTAGACTTTACATCCCCTCTGGAACTGAATCCAATGGAAATATAAACATGCTTATACTTATTGAAAGTAAAATGGGAAATAGACCACACTGCTTTTTTTTTTTTAGCAACTTTGAAGTAATTCAGTTCTCTGTTATATTAATCGATCAGTCAGAGAGTAGTTAAAGATGTATTTCAAAGATTGTGCATGATAATTCTCCCTGAATTATCTTCATACAGGAAGGTTTTCAGATTATCTAGGCTATTCTGTTGCTAGAGACAGAAGACTAAGTTGTCTTTTATTATATTAACCATAATCACAGATTTGCTGAGCATAGTCCCAGGGTCAGCAAGTCCCTGATTGGAGATTGAAGGCTATAGATGAGAGGTCTGCTTTTGCTCCCAACATAGGAAAAAAGACCCTTTAGGGACTGCATTTTTTTTAGAAACTTCCCATCAGGGTGGCCTGTGGCTTTTGTAAGACAGTTGTAGATTTCACCTCTGTTTTCTAGCAACCTTTGTTTATCTACTCCTTCTAGCATCTTAGGTGTGTGTCCCTTGGTGAATGCTTTCCCCTTCCCAATGTCAGAAATCTTTTTTGTTTATATAGGAAATATTCACTTTTGCATAAAGCACTAGGTTAGTTACAGAGTGGTACTTGTAACAGACAATCCAAAGGCTCAGTGGCTAAACAGGTCAAGGTCTATTTGTCTCCTGGGTGGTCCTACAAGGAACAATTCAGAAGGCCTGACCCCTCCCGTGTGACACTGCCATTTCAAGGCATGGCTGCCGCATAGTGGACAGAGTATAAGTCATCATGCCAGGGACTCGATGGTGCAGCCTGTGAGTGGCATGCATTACCATTAGTTTCCTATGGCTGCTGTAGCAAATTACAATAAACTTAGTGGTTCAAGACAATGCAATTTTATTATCTTACAGTTCTGGAGGTGAGAAGTCCAGAATGGGTCTCACCGGGCTAAAATCGAGGTGTTGACAGGGCTGGTTCCTTCTGGAGGCTCTAGGGAAGAATCTGTTCTCTTGCCTTTTCCAGTATCTAGAGGTTGCCCACATTCCTTGGCTCGTGGCCCCTTCCTCCGTCTCCAAAGGCAGCAGTGTCTGGTCACGTCCTTCTCACATTGCACACTCGGACCCTGACTCCCCTGCCTCCTTCTTTCACATGTAAAGACCCTTGAGATTACATGGGCCCATCTGGATCATCCAGAATAATCTCTTTATTTTAAAGTCAGCTGATTAGCAGCCTTAATTCTATCTACAACCTGGTTCCCCCTGGCCACGTAACCCAGTGTGTTCACAGGTTCCAGGGGTGGGGGCACTGTGCCGCCTTCCGCAGTCCCTTTTCCTTACACTGTTGGCCAGGACCCAGGTACACTGCCCTGATCCCACTACCGGGGAGGCTGGGGGTGGGATTGGTGAACACCTACCTACTCCCCACCTCAACCAGTCCCCAGTGCCAGGGTCTCCGGAGCACCTACCTCCAGGTAGCAGATCCTGCTTTCCCCCGAACTTTTTCAAATCAGCCTCCCTACACTCGAGGATGCCCGTGGAGCTGCCCC